AGTTCCCCTTGATCCATTGATAGTGTATTAAATATTGAATATATTAGGGATCCTCTTGATCCATGGAACGAGAAATCCATTGATAGGGTTGTATTTAAAAATATGAATTACAGTAAGGATACCCTTAATTTATTGATAGTGTATTCAATATAAAGAGCAGGCATCCCCTTGATCCATTGATATGTATTAAATATACTATATAACGTGTATCTCCTTGATCCATTGATAGAGTACGTTCAATATAAATTTTAACAGGGGCTCTCTTGGCCCGTTGATAGTATGTGTATTGAATATTAATAATATGCCTCCACTTTATCCACTGATAAACATTTTTTGAATATATAATACGATAGGAATCCTTTTACTGTGTTAATATGGTTCCCTTATCTATTGATATATTGGACTAAATAAAAAAATATGTATCCTCTTGATCTATTGATAGAGCGTATAGAATTAAAAATATGATGGAGATACCCTTGGTCCATTGATAGAGTACATTCAATATAAATGATACGTATCTGCTTGATCCATTGATATTTAATTTAATGTATATTATCATAGTGATCATCCTGATCCATTGATACAGTGTAATAAATATATAATATGATAGGGACCCCCTAATCTAATTATAGAGTGTAATAAATATATGATATTATAATGGATCCCCTTGATCCATTGATAAGAGCGTATCGAATATGTAAAATGATAGGGATCCCCTTGATCCATTGAAAGTGTATCAAATAAACAACATACTAAGCATCCTCTTGAACCATTGATAGTGTGTGTTAAACAAAATATAATAAAGATCCTCTTGATCCGTTGATAGAGTGTGTTGAATAGATATATGGGCATCCTCTTAATCCATTGATAGTGTAATAAATATAGAATATGACAGGGATACCCTTGGTCCGTTGAGAGACGGTATTAGATATATATGATACGCATCTCCTTGATCTATTGATAGTGTATTAAATAAAAATTAATAGGGATTTCCTTGATCCATTGATAGAGTGTACTTAATATGAAATATAACAGGGACCCCCTTGATTCATAGATAGAATGTATTAAAAATAAAATATAATGATCCCCTTGATTCATCAATAGTGTATTTATTACATGATATAATCAGTATGCCCTTGGTCCATTGATAGTGTATTAAATATATAATGCAACAGGGATCACCTTGATCCATAGATAGAGTGTATTAATATGAAATATAATGGTCCCCTTGATCCATTGATCGAGTGTATTATATATAAAATATAATAGGGATCCCTTGATTCATGATAGAGTGCATTGAATATAAGATATAACATGGAGATAGCGTGTATTAAATATATAGTACGCTAGGGATACCCAAGGTCTATTGATACTGTGTATTGAATATGAATGATGTGCATCTCCTCGATCCATTGATAACGTATTATATATATAAGTAATAGGGATCCCCTTGATCCATTGATAGCGCGTTTTAAATATGAAATTCAATATGGATCCTGTCCATCTATCCATTGATAGCGTATCATAGGTATAATTAACAGGGATCCCCCTGATCTATTTATTGTGTTTATTAAATATAACATATATAAGAGATCCCCTTAATCCAATGATGGATTGTATTTTCAATATATAATATACAAATAGAGATCCACTTGATCCATTGATAGTGTATCGAATATATTTTATAATAGGGATCGCCTTGATCTATTGATAGCGTGTATTAAATATAAAATACAATTTCCCTTTGATCCATCAATAGAGTGTATTGAATACATAAAGTAACGAGTATCCCCTCGATCTGTCGATAGTGTATTAAATATAGAATATATCTGGGAGCCCCTATGTCGACATTGTTCGTCCAGTGATATATAGCGATCGGGGTCTTCAATTGTCCACGCTCTATGAACGAGCGATTTATCGCTATGAACCTGCGCAGACCTTTTAGGGTTTAGGGGTTTAAGCCCTAAAACTAAAACTTTTTCTACGCACTGATTGCTAGCAGAGGTGTTTGCCTTGAGGATTCAATGCCCATTGTCTAATATCACGTGTGAAGATAAGGTTGTGCCTTTGGAGAGTATTGGCGACATTGGTCTGTACAGTACTGATATGGTGCACATAAGATCTCATGGACATCTCGCATCAATGAGTATATCCGTACGACTGATTTATCAATGTAAGTTAGTTATTCAAGCATGCCTGTCAATAAACACCAACGCCGTATGAGTACGGCTTGAAATACGGATGAGCGTATCAAATATTATTTATTATATGAAGTCTTCGTGCCGGCTTCTGTTTTCCGGCGACATACTGCACTCGGCATGCACCTCTGACGGACACACGAATACAAATAAACGTATCTGCCACCAGTCCCTCAGCTCTAGTATGCACGTGTAGTATACACGCGTTTATGCAAAGTTCTGCCTTTTGAAGGATATTTAGGACAACTCCAGTGCAGCCTCCGGTGTTTGTACCACACATCTACTGTGTATAAAGGATCGACATAGGATCAGACCCTAGATCGTAATCTGACGAGCGTCTGCTCAGGTTGTCCGATGTCTCGGAGTGCATTGGACTACGCTCGGCTGTATATACGGGACCTTGGTTCGTGTGCGCGTAGATCCGATTTTCGTCCAACCAGTCTAATATTTTTTTCTCGATCAGTCTGGTATTTGTCCGACCCGTCCGATTTTCGTTCATCCAATTGTAAGTAAATACGTGGGCGTGTAATATCTGTCAGTCTGTTGACAGTACGTGACCATTTATGGAAGCATGGCTATTTATAGTATGCGTACGCGGTTGTAGTCTCCCTCTAGTACCAAGTGGCCCTCATTCTGCAATGTTCGCAGTGCCGTCTTCATGTCCTCTGGTTTGATAACAGGACCGTCGCTGCCCTGCTTTCGCCGAAAGAATAAAACACTTGCCGGTAAGTCATCAGATGTAGTTTAGGCATACCTATTGGTGTAATTTGTATTCCTCCATCACATATATGAACAAGCTTCTAAACAGCCGGTCCATGCTAGAAAATCCGTACCGTGTTGTTGCAAACATTCCGAAGCAACTGTACAATACGTACATCAGAAGCCAGTGAAATACATACATCAGATACGAGATACAGCCTTCCATGAACGTATATATATATATATATATATATGTATATACATATATATATATATATATATATATATATATAGTATATAATATATATATATAATATAT